CATGAATATGTTTTGAGTTTTACAGTGTACAACAAAACCACAAAGATTACCCATGTGTTCCATCTGATTTGTATCAAGTCACTGTGAAGTTACTGGCTAAAGGTCTTAAGTCTCTTTTTTTCAAAGTATGTTTGCAAGTAGAAAGTGAATGTGCCTCTTTCACAGTAAGGTTTCACCTGATGCTTTTCATGTGAAGATAAGCGTAAAGCACTACTATGCTGCTTTAAGAATCTCCAAAACCTCCAAATCTACGTTCACTTGATTTAATTATGTGCCCTATTTGATGCTCTAATTTGATCTTTGCTTTCATAACAAGGAAGCATTTGCTCAATCAGTCCGAAATTATCTTTACGCTGATTCGTTGTCGTAGTCCTCCCCTCCAACAACGAAAGGTCAGAAGACTCTAAATGTTATATTTATGTCTGCACGTGGGACTGTATGTGCAATAGTGTGCATTTCTGATCCAAGAGGGAAAACTCCCTGTGATAACTCAGTGTTGTCAGCAGTCAGACAGATCAATGTTTATTGCTTCTGCTGCTGCTGTGTGTCTGTGTACTTGGCTGCGTCTACGTACTGTGAGTCCTTACACTATTTATTCTTGTGTGTTGATGTTTGCCACTGTTAGTTTGTTTGCTACTACTTGTTGATTTTCATCTGCACGAGGGTGTATATGACTTTTTCGTGTATTTACTTTCATGTGTATGTGTATGCGTGCCAGGAAGGACTTGGCAGTATCAGATGTTATTCTGCTATTTATGCCATGGAATATAACCGAGGAACTTGTTTAACTGTTGTCTGAAGGGAAACTGCCTGATGCTGCAGTTTGGCTTTTGATTATATTGTTTGAAAAATGATATATTTTTTATGTACGTATGTTTGCTTATACGCAACACCACAGTAGCTCAAGATTCAGATGTTAATACTGAGGTGTAGGACAGTTTAACGTTTGTGGACATGACTCTTCCACCCAGAAAGCAGAAAGCAAAAAATAAAGAAGATTGTTGATGATTTAAATAAAATTTATACGTATGATGTATTTATAGGTTCAAAAAGCTAATTCATGAACAGTCCCTTGACTTAAAGTGTTCATGCTGCACCTGTTTGAGTGCCCTACATACTCGTGCGGGGAAGATGTCATCAGCTTTATGTGTGGACTTGGCTGGCAAAGAAAGACAGCGCGGTCTATGTTCAAGGTTCCTTTCCTTTAGCTGGTATTAATAGCTGTGAATCACTCAATAAACAGAACAAACCTCAGTGAACTGTTGAAAGATTTCAACCAGTCTGAAAAGCAATGCTCAGCAATGAGTCAGTTATTGGTTGACTTAGAAGCAAATCAGGCAGATGGAGTGTTTGACTGAAGAAGGTGCTCCTCATTTTGCAGTGTTTTTCAAATATCTACTTTATATAAATTGTGCAGGATGATGTGATGATGGATGAACTGGTCATCGTGGCTGAAATAAAGTTACTATAATCAGAGATTTGGCAAAGCTGACATAAAGTCATAACAAATAATCAGAGTTGTTGTCCATGTCCATGTTGTAAAATGTGACATTACAGACATGACCAATGTTTTTTTCAGAACAGTCAACATGCAGCACTCTAAACCTCTGAACCTTATACCCTATTAGTATCAGAAATCACGCATGAAACACTGATTTGCTACACACACACACACACACACACACACACACACACACACACACACACACACACACACACACACACACACACACACACACATCCTGCCTCTCTTAATGGCATGCAATTTGTTGAAAACCAAAATATCACGATAGTGGTTAAAAAGGATGTTCAGCCAATGTACTCCATTCACCTCTGCATTTAGAGTCCCCTACACACACACACACAGACACACACACACACACACACACACACAGGGTATTTGTATTCAGCAGCATGCATTACACATGAGTAAACCCATGCATAAAAATCACAGGGACATCATGGTCAATTAGTCCAGGTTCATGTTCTCTCAGTCTCACAGCAGGAGTGCTGCATGTTCAATTCAATGTGGCTTATCAGTGTTTCTCAAACTAGGGTCTATGATGTATAAAAGGTTAGAGGTCTTTTTCTCATGGGTCTACAGCTGATAATATTAGATACACTTATCACTATCACTGGAATCCAATATCTCATTCCATCCAGTAATCAGTCCCAGTGTTTATTTATCAGAGTTTTCTGTTGTCACTGCTGATATTGTATAGTGTGTGTGAAGCTCTGCAGGAAGAAGTTGAGGATATCATGAATAGCACATGATAAAGGTTATTGAATTGCTGATACTTTTTTTTCTAATGCAATTTTTTGGATAAATTAATTTTAATTTGGAGCCAGTGCTTTGACACAAAAATGATCTTTTGAATGATAAAATTATCTAAATAGCAATGAATTTACATTTATATATATATCGCTGTATATACTGTACGCAGTGCAGTTGTTGTTTTTGATCATCACTGTTTTACTGTTGGGACTTTTCTGTTTTCTCTGCGAATGCACATTTGATTTTAATTAATTCCCCAGAATCTCTTAAGACCTTTCAGTCACTGCCTTGGCTGACAGCTTTGTCTCCCTGTGTGTTTCCCAGTTTGAAAGATGAATAAATGAATGATTGAGGCCTCTGTATGGTCATGAAATTCATATGACTAATTTGAGAATGTCTCCATTTCCACTTCAAAAGGGTAGCTTGCAAAATCAGTTCAGGGCGAGAGAGGAGAGAGATACTGCTCGTATGTTTGATAGATGTAAGACTGGATAGTTTTAAACTTTATAAACTTAATATTTCAAATTGTATTTTCTCTAATAAGAAAACAACTCACAATTTTCATTTAATTTCATTATTTTTAAAAATATTCAGGGTTAGTTCAGCCAGATATTTTTTTTGCTGTAAAGGTATCTGTTTTTTTTTTGTTTTTTTTTTTACATTTTTTTTATGGGAAGCCAAGGACAAGACAATCCTTAAGGTTATTTTCGTGCATACCTTCACCATGCAAAAGGAAGAGAGGAGCCGACAGATGATAGATGTTGTGAACCAGATGAACTACGTGGTCTGATATGTAGGTGGCCGCACTTTTCTTCATTGTCTGATTGTTTTATAAGTTGCAGCTGTTTCTACACAACTTCTTTCAAAGCGCTTGTTTGAAGTGGCACGTCTTTTCGAGGAGGTGCTGTGTTTGTGCTTTGGATTTGTTCAGTATGCAACTTTATTTGCAGGTCGCGTATGATGCCCATTCTCTGAAACACATTCATTTTTTCAGTAGTCAGATTCTTTTGAATCTCCTGTTTCATTTAATGCAAACACGGCTGAAAAATATGCTCCCGGTCTGCACTGTATCATGAATCGTAGCTCGCAACCTGTAGTCTGTCTCTGTGTAGGACATTTAAAGAATTTAGTGGATTATTCTGTCGCTCTAACTGTGATCGATAGCTCACACCTGTGTAAACTACAAAATTTCCACTTATTCTACTTATCTCTTCCTTCCTCTCTGTCTTTTCTCTGTCCTCTCCTCCCATCTCTCTTCTGCTCTCACTTTTCTGTCTCTGTTTCTCTATCTTGTTTTTTTTTTCTTGCTTGTATGAAACATTTTTCACCATCTTCTCTCCGATCGAACAACTTTTTCCTGCTGCGTCCTTTAACTAAGGTTTATATCAAGTTTATTTTCTTTTATTCTGGTTTTCTTCCCTTTCTTTTTTTCCCCTTCCTGTCTATGCTTTCCAAACACACACACATGCACACACACGCAAGCACTGTGAGTTCATTACAGAAGCTGTGAGACCGGATCCACAAATCAAACTGCGTAAATAAGCAAGTGTTGTTCCTGCAGAGCAATCACTGCTGTTGCCATGGCTACCTGTGGCACATCTCAAGGATTATCAAGGACAACCTTTAAGTGTGTGTGTCTGCATATGTGTGTGCATACACAGTCGTGTATGTGGGTGGTTGTGTGAGATTTCTTTGAGTGTGATAATTGACAGAGAGAATCTGTCTAATTCCTGGTACTCAATTGATTTGCTGTACATCGTCTTGCTTTCCTGTTATTTTACCTCTCTGACAAACACTTGATTCACTGACACCTTCTTGGTTCTGTGTGAATAAAGGTTGTGTAATGGTTTGGGTCTGACCACTCAGCAGCATTCAGTGCTGAAAACCTCACCCGGACAGTCTGTGCTTTAGAAGAAGAGAGGTTTTCGGGGCAGGAACTGTATCCCAGTGACTAAAATAGGATCTGTAAGGTACTGCAGTTGAATGTAGGTGAAACTCCTCAAAGACTCCCTCAAATGTTTCCTGGCAAAGCTCCCGTGCTGGAAAACGGCTGTTAGTTTATGTGGCATCCATCCCGACAATGTACTGTATGTCTACCTGGCAGCTCTAGCACCAGTGTAGAAACTGTCCATTAGTCCTTTGTTAGCAGAGATGAGGACAGGTTTGTGTGTGTGTGAGTGAGTGTGTGTGTGTGTAAACAGACAGACTAATGGACCTGACTGAAATCCAAACAGAGGAACTGGCAGGTGATCAATGCTGTTTACTTCCAGCGGGTGAAGTGTGCAGACTTCCTTTGGCTGGTCGAGGGATAGAGAGAGTATGGTATGCAGGGATTGGTGGATCAGAAGACTTGTGACATTCAGTTTAATCCTGAAAAACTGATCCACATTTCATTGAGGCTTAGAGCTTTCACGGCGAAAGGGAAACATCAGAGTAGATAATGTCCCGCTCTTAATCTCTCCTCATTCTCATTCCTGCTCTCTCTTCTTTCCACACTGGTATGAGGAGCAGCAGTCTCTGCTTTCTTTGTGCTCTTGCGAAGATTTCAACTCATTCTTCCCTCTTCCCCTTGACTGCATTAACCTGTCCACAGTTCATCTCTCTCACCCTGTTTTCATGTTACCCGTCTTTCTCTCACTCAGTATGCTAGATGGTGATATCACATGTGGAAAAAATTACTGATCTCTCTTCTTGTCTCTCCCGCCTCCTTTACTTGTCCATCCAGAACGTCAGCTGGCCAACAGTATGACCAGCAGCAGCTCTCTTCCTCCCAGTGTCAGTGGGATCAGTAAGGAGCTGGCAGAGCTGCGTCACCTGGTGCAGTTCCCTGAGGAGATTGCCTGTATCCTCACCGAGCAAGAGCAGCAGCTCTACCAACGGGTAGGAGGAATTCATACAATAGATGTTGGGGGTCAAAAAAAAAAAAAAAAAAAAAAAGAAGTAAACGCACTGTGTGGTTGTTGTTGGACAGGAAACGGGGTTCAGGAAAGACAGATATTGATTCTGAATTGACATCTTAGGGAAAGAAGACACATTCAAAATTCAATTCATTCAACATTCAGTTTCTAATATAATAATCCCAGTCTCTGTTCAATCATTCATTTTTCAGTGTAATAAGAAATACTCACCCCTAACACTGTGTGTCTTACTGCAGGTCTTTCCCTTGGACTACCTCTGTTTCCTCACTCGAGACCTGGGCAGTCCTGAGTGCCAAACTAAACACCACCCAAACCTCAAGGCCTCATTGTCTGCGCCCGCCATGCCTACCCAGAGTGCTCAGCGAAGTAATGCTGTGGAGGACCTGGTGACACGGTTCAACGAGGTGAGCAATCCCAGTATAGTTTCTGTTGACCAACTAATTGATTAATCAACTAATTGTTTCAGCTCTGTCTCAACTGTAAGATCCACTTTTGACACTTTTTTTTAGGTGTAAAGTCAGTAGGCCTCTTCCACCTTTAAATCCTGCAGGGACTAATCGCAGTAACTTTCCCAGTCAGCCGACAGTATATCTCACAAGCTCAGTTTTTACTACACAACTGAAGTCTGGATGAGATCACTCGAGAATCTGTGATACGATTCAGCAAAGAATGTGGGATAGTTTGATGGTGAGACTCGTGAATGCCTTGACTTTTTACACACAGCCTTATACAGACGTAGAGTTACTCATATTGAAAAGGGGGCACCTCTCAACTATTGGGAAAATAATGATTTATAAAAAAAAAAAGGTTTCTCCTGTTTAGATAACTCTGTAGCCTGCCCTTAATGACATCATCAGAGACAGTGAAAATGCCTGTGCTCTGATTTGACATGAATATGAAGGGTTGAAAAGCGTTGCAGAGCAGCAATCATGTTTTCCTTTATGCTGTTGTGTTTTCTATGCTGTGCGGAGACATACCAACATATCAGCTCATGACTGAAGCGCACACTGTGCAATGTAAGTTGGCTGAAGCTGCTCTCCTGGGTCTCGTGTCTTTATGGCGAGTGACTTTGAGGATAAACAATCACAACACTGTACTGGTGAGAAAGAGAAAGTGAGGCAGAGAGAGACTGATCGGGAATGATGAAGTCATCTTTAAGTTGCATGCCTTTCACATCAGCTGGTTTTCATTTAAGTCAGCGAGAGGAGAGGCACATGAAAAATAGTTTCCCAAATGTGCATCGTAGCCATATATGGGCACAATGATACAACAGTCAAATGACAACAGTGTGAAGACACTGATGGAGAGGGAGACAAGATATGATGTAGGAGTATCCTGCCCTAGCTGGCTCTACACTACGCTTTCGACGTTTACCTACAATTCTCCTCAGCGATGGACAGTGTTATGTCAAATATTTACATTAAATATCTGTTAAAAGATCTTCCAATATTTTTGAATTTTTCATTTTCAATCCCTTTTCAGCAGGCACTTGTCACATAATAGGGGGCTTTTATTCTTTTATAACCATTATTGGTACTGCTGTGATTCAGATTATTGATTATGATTAACAAAAAATTAATCAGCAACTGTTCTGATAATTAATTAATTAGTTATTAAAGTAATTTTAACTAATATTTTTTCCCATTCAAACTTCTCAGATGGGAATATTTTATGTTTTTTTTTTTACTCTTAGTCTATGTAAGTAAAACTGAAAATTTTGACATTTTAAGATGTCACTATGGGCTCTTGGAACTTCTGATACATTGCATTTCTTTTGAGGAAATACATTTTCCACATGGTATGCATTTGTTTTGTTTTTTTAAAGATATAGGTACATGTGGGTAACATTCTGGTTGAGGTTGTTCTGGTTGACTGTCCTGGACTGGATCAACTGTTTGCAGATATTAATGAATTAGTTTGAGTGTTTTATTTCTTCCCTCACACTTGACTGACAACATGTTGTAAATTTAAATGAAAAAAAATTATCTAATGGTTTTTTATCCTGAATTTCAAGCCATGTAAGGGAGTGAAAGATTCTGCTGTAAAAAGGATAGCACGGCAAGAGAGAATTTGGCGGCAAGGAAGGGTGAACAGTTTGGACCCCTTTGTGTCTGTCTGGAGTGTTTAGCTTTGACAGGACCAGTATGTGCTCATGCGCTGAGTTTGTAATAGTTCTCTGTCAACCTTGGTTATGTAATTCATGTATCAAGGAGAAACTGACCCTCATAGTTCAACTAATAACACACGCACAGATGGAGACAGACAGACGGACAGACAGATGGACACATAGACAAACATCAAAGAGGGATCAGCTTGTACCCAGCTCCGGTTCTGTGTGTGTGTGTGTGTGTGTGTGTGTGTGTGTGTGTGTGTGTGTGTATGTGTGTGTGCGTGTGAGTGCTTGAATTTTTGTCAACTGATAACACCTATGCTGTGTATATAAGGGATGGAGATGTTTGAAGAAACCTTTTAGACAGTTTTAGTCTGTTGTATTGTCCTCTTGTCTGTTTTCATCTCTGCTTTGCTCTTCTCTGCTATTACACGCTCTCTCTATATATAGCATATCTTCATATCCTGTCTACTATCTCTCTTACACAACACTAAGTACACACTTTTGCTATCTGGAATATCAGAAGAGATGCCAACTCCATATGACTCCTTGATGTGCGACGGTTTCGAAAAGCCACTTTTCAGACGGTCAGAATGGTTTAGATGGCGATTGTAATACAACCCAGCTGCTGACATGGCTTCGCATTATGTCATAATTCTAGAAGTGACTGATAGCAGATTTTCACGCAAGGCACGCAACGCATGCAACGCACGCACGCAACGCACATCGCGCAACGCACGCACGCAACGCACATCCTGGCACGCACAGAGCAAGGGAGTAACAGATAAGATACTGTAGGGCAGCGGAGTTGTTTGTCAGAAAGCCATATACAGTAGATTCTGGAAGAAGCTTCCGCACAACTGAAGTAACAGACATCGAGGCGCTGCATCTTCTCTGGCTCCAGCGGGGGTTTTCTATAGCTGATGCTTTGTATCTGATCCATCTGAAAATGGTGACAAGTGAGAAAAGAATGCAATTTATAATTATCAACCAATGAAAAAGCTATCTATGTAAATACAGAGATACTGCAACACCTTGATCAGGTGTGTTCGGAGAAGATAGTGTTCAATGGACAGGAAGGAAATAATGACCATTGTATTTTATAATATGAACGTATTGAGAATGGTTAATTAATTATAGGTCTCCACCATAAGGTCCATTGAGTAGCTGCTCTGGAGCTATTGTGAAAGTGCTCGGAGAAAATGGAAATTTTAACATCTACAATTCTGTGATGAATGGGTCGACTCCATCTGCAGATGAAGCTAATGTGATATATGATAGAAAGCTCCAGAACAGCTACCAAATGGACCTTGTGGTGAGGTCTTTTTCTCCACTGACATTTTTAAGGTCAAGAATAAACTTTGAACCTCATTTAAATTTTATTTCCACTCAACGGCATAATCCATTAGACAGGATTTGGAGGATGAGTGGTGCAACTTTAGCTTAAGTTTTAGCTTTTAATGTTTGTCAGGTTGAGTCAATAAAGATATTGCATTGGGGAAAACAGTTTAGAAGAGACAGTTTTAAGTGTGTGAGATGGATTACATTTTCACAGCGACCTTCCCGGCCCTCAGCCCTCCGAATACTCGTGCTTCTATCACACAGGAATGCATAAACTGGCATGCTTTCACTCATATTGGATAGGGACTTAACAAACCATAACACTATTAACATGAGTGAGTTTGAAATTATGACAGCCACCTTTTTAAAGCCTGACAAATAAAATTTAGCTTTTTATCAAACACTGTAGATTATATGTTTATGAAGTGAGCTCTGTGTATGTACAAGCTCATATCTGAGATGTCTGTATATACTGTGTGTTAAATTGTATATGTAAGTGCCTGATTTTGATATGTGAGTATCTATGGTCTCATATCTAGTGTATGTGAAAAGGTCGGTATTCTGTACATGGGCAGGGGGGTTTGGTTGCATGTGTAATGGAGGATTTCTGTACTTGCTTGTGTCATAATCTATGAAAAGGTCAGAGGTCAGATTGGGGAAAAAAAAAATCACATTTTACCAGTGTTAAAACTGTACTTTGTTACGTGTGTGTGTGGTGTGTGTGTCTTTATTTAGTCCCTGTGAAGTCAGACTGTGGTGGGCTTTACAGATCCTTACATAACCCAGTAATAGATCTCTGGGCCAGGGGGATGTTTTTACCGTCTGCAAGGGGGTTGGGGAGTTTTTGTGTGTGTGTGTGTGTGTGTGCGTGTGTGTGTGCGTGTGTGAATAAGTTCATGAAGCTAAAATGCATAGACACATATGCTAGAGAGCAAGAAGCAGTCCGATTGAAATCTGATCTTTTCCCGTAGTGTGTGTGTGTGTGTGTGTGTGTGTGTGTGTGTGTGTGTGTGTGTGTGTGTGTGTGTGTGTGTGTGTGTGTCCATCACAAAAAATGTGAAAGGAAGCTGACTGTGATAAATATCTGGTCTGTATCTTTTGCGTGTGCTTGAGGGCAGTCTGAGCAGAGACAGAGTGTAGCTGATAGATATCTGATCTCATTCTTTCTTTTGTGTGGCATGTATGTTTGTGTGTGTGTGTGTGTGTGTGTGTGTGTGTGTGTGTGTGTGTGTGTGTGTGTGTGTGTGTGTGTGTGTGTGTGTCTGAGTGTGTGTGTCGATGTCAGTGTCAGAGTGTGGCCAGCTGGCATGCTCCTGTGCATAGACTACCACTTTAGACACAGGTTGCCATACCAGAATTTAAAAGAGACGACACAAGCGCATGGAAGACCACACACAACGGAGAGTCTCAGCTGACTGTCCTTTGGCTGTGGACCTTGCCTCCTGTTCACTGGGTTTTAACACACGTTGTAATAACACACTAACACATTTACAAGTCATTCTGTGGTTTGGTATCAACCTGAAGACTGTTCAATTAGCAGTGCCCACTGTTAAAACATTTTCATGCAGCTACGTGCAGCATATTGCACCAGTACTAAGGATTTTTATCCATGTACATTTTCAAAGCAGTATGTTTATTTGAATATTAAAAATGTGTATAAATAACATTTTAATAAATGAATAGTCCAGAAAAGAAGGACTTTTCAAAAATTCTACTAGAGTCATGTCTGTACTTCTGCTTAGATCTTGGGTGCTAAAGCTGGTGGAGAAGTGGCGACATCAAGAATGTTACTGTTTGTTCATCAGTTTGAGTGTGATAGTAACTATTAGTAATATGTATGTGTCAATAGGTGAGTTCGTGGGTGACGTGGCTTGTCCTGACAGCAGGATCCATGGAGGAGAAGAGGGAGGTTTTCTCCTACCTGGTCCACGTGGCTAAATGCTGTTGGAACATGGGGAACTACAACGGTGTCATGGAGTTCCTGGCAGGACTCAGGTTCTAAGCAACACACAGACAGGACACTCTCAAATATGCTAAAATAATCATTCTGGGCTCATAAATGTACAACTGACTGAGAATTTCTTTGTCTTCCAGGTCTCGTAAGGTGCTGAAGATGTGGCAGTTTATGGACCAGTCGGACATCGACACCATGAGAAGCTTGAAGGACGCCATGGCTCAGCACGAGTCTTCTTCTGAGTACAAGAAGGTTGTGACCAGAGCTCTCAATATCCCAGGATGCAAGGTGGGTTGTTGCTCAGGTGACGTTTGGTAATGTAATGGTCTAGTTATTCATGTGGGTCACTCCTCTTCAGTGTGCATTTGTTTCATGACTATAATAGAGCATGTATATCTTTCTTTTCTGAGCACTGGAATGACAGAAAATCAAAAGCACAACTGGATGTGTTTTTCTCTGTCTTGTCTGTGCACCATAGGTTGTGCCATTCTGTGGGGTATTTCTGAAGGAGCTCAGTGACGCATTGGACGGGACGGCAAGTATCATTAGCCTTAAACCACCTCCAGACAACACAGAGGACTCTATAGAGGTACAGTAAACAGCATACACGAACATACACACATCTTATATAACTGATCCAAGAAGTAAGAATCCGACATGTCCTCTTCTCTCTAGTTTGTGTCCGACTACAGCGGCCAACACAACTTCATGTCGCGGTCCGGTCCAAATGGCTTGCACGTCCCAGAAAAAGAAGCCACTGTCAGCAACATCCTCCAGATTATCAGGTACGCTGCATCCATGTAAAGACTGTTTCTGTACTTTCTGACTAATGACAGTCTTCTCTGATCTTCTCTTCTTGACTTTATTATCTGTCTGCTTCACTCCCCCGGCGATTTCTACCACTTTGTTCTACTCACCTTTTTTGCTTTGATCTCAGATTTGCAAATACTCTTGCTCTTCACTCTTTTCTGACTCTCTCCTCAGATCTTGTAATCGTAGTTTGGAGGCAGAGGATCCTGATGAGGCGTCCACCAGTCCCTCTTCTACTGGCCCATCCCCCGCATCAAGAAACAACTCGTTCAGGGACCGCTGCCGCAATCAGTCAGTGTCTTTGTTTTGTTTTTTTTTTTCCTTTTTATTTTATATTCTGTTTACCCCAAAGACAGAGTCCTTTCGGTGTCCAGCATCAAGCACTAAACTGCGACTCTGGAGCTCTTAAAAAATGAATGTGTTCTGTTTAAGAATACGTTACACTGGTGACTGTTTTCTGTCACAGGGTCTTAAGCCCATTCAGCTGAAGGATGATCTCTCTGTTTTTACCGTGTGTGGGGGATGTTGTGCAAGATAAGCTTTTAAGACATATAGTACAGTATCGAATGGCACCTAGCATGTGACCCAATCCATCAACACATTGGGACACTGTGTTTCAGTTGATTGCGTAGTTGTTTGTTTACTGTTTAACTGTAATTCTTCTTTCTGGCTTCTTCTTTTCATTCAAAAAATATGTTTAAAAAATGTAGAGCAACATGTGGAACAAATTCTTAATTCTAAATCCGTCTCAATTTGTATTTCAATATAATATATATTTTATCACTTTACCAAACAATTTAGAGGAATGTTAAGGCACCCTTAAGCTATTTTTAACTTTTGGTTGAACCACTCCTGGAAATTTTGTATTGTTTAGCACTGTGACCTTCCTGCTAAAGGTCTGTGTCCAAAATTGTGTTCTTTATTTTCCTGTTCATTCACAAGTGACTCACTAAAAGAAAATGGTCTATTATTCACAGATTTTTTGATGAAAACTGAACCCTGCCATGCTGTGATTGATAGAAAGACTGCAGTTTCTGAAAAGGCATTTATGCACATGCCGCTACAACAGTCTCTCTTGTAATAAATAAGACAACTGCCATATAATGATTTTCAAACAATATAATTCGTTTCCTTAGTTAGGAATATGTTTTCTGTACAATGCACTAAAAGTAAATAACGATATTTTACATTTTCTGTAATTTCTGAGGCCAGATGAACTGGATCCTCACCAAACTTCTACTGTAGAGCGTCGTATTCTGGGTCATTTGCCTTTCAAAAAAATACCTGCACAAGATAATGGGTTTGTGAAGGAACTTATGTACAGATTGTTATTGAGATGAGGTGATGTTCACATAAACCCCTGTGTCACAGAGAAAAGAGATAACAGGTTAGTTTCCTGTCAGGGCAGGAAGGAGCAGAGCTCTGGCACTTTTCAGCACACTGGTGACAGGTAGCTCGCTGGAATTAGGACACCAACATGAAATGCTGTTAGAAAACTGATTTAATTTCAGGCTCGGGCTGTGGTGTTTCTACTGAGGAAACCTGGATTATCTTCTCTTTGTTTCTAGACAGTTCTCTTTGACTCTGAGTTATTATTTCACGTTAGAGCTCAGGGAACACTACTTCATTTTGGCTAGGGGAATGCTGTTCATCCGTTTGTACTCGGATGCAGATAAATATCATCTTTCTTATTCGCAGAGGTTTAGGTGTTCTTTTCCTGTGTTTCTCTCTTTCCCTCCGGCATCGTCTTTTTGCTATTATTCTCTTTACTTCTGAGGGCTTGTGTCTGCTCTTTATTCTTCTCACTCTTCCTCTCCTACTTATTTGTCTCATTCTCCTCCATCCCTTAGTTCCCATTCATTTAGGACACCGCCAGAATCAAACCGTGTCTTGTAAGTGATTGTAAGAGTTTCAGGAGTAATGATGTCTAACCTCACCTGGATAGTTTGCGTAGAAAGTAGTTTAGTAGTCAAGGAATGTGCAATGACAAATGCATGATGCTTTTTTGCTTGTTCAACCACGCTACAGTACAGAGCTGTTTATTGTACTGTAGATGCAGCTAATTTCTTTCTTTTGACTAGACCTCAATGTATTTTCTAAATAACTGCTTCACTGCACTCGCTGCAATAGTTGAAATCAAACATAGAAACTGACAGATTCCTGATAGACTCATAGATTTCCTGTAGAAATCAGTAAACTAAAACTTTGATGTTCATACCACTTTCTCTTTTTTTATTATTTCTTTTTTTCACAACTTCACACTGCATTTCTTCTCTCTGAACTTCTATCCATTTTCAGATTCATGGTCGGGGACTTGTCGGATTCAGAAGGTGACTTGTCGTCTGAGCCGGTGGTGAAGGAGGTAGAGTTTCAGGGCACTGAGGAGACACACAGAGCTTTCAGCCACGGCACTGAGCTTATTCCCTGGTAAGAAAGAAACACGCACACACTCACGCAAAAAATGTACACCTATCTCACACACACTCCACACTCTTTGTATTCTCTTTTTCTAGGTACGTGTTGTCACTACAACCTGATGTTCACCAGTTCCTGCTGCAGGGGGCTACAGTCATCCACTACGACCAGGACAGCCACCTCACAGCTCGCTGTCTGCTACGACTACAACCTGACAACACAACACTTACCTGGGGTAAAGTATGACAGAGATTTATCAAAACCATCTCCATACAATTTAAAAGACATGATTGGGTTTTTTTTACACCACTTTCAACCACTTGTAATTAATTTGGCTACTGTTATGTAATCAGTTTGTGTCTGCCATTGTGATATTTAAAACATTATGAGTATGTTTATATCCCAGACAGACAAGCCCCATTTCCCCGCTCATTATTACTCTTTAAACAAATGGAAAACAGGCCTCCACAATATAAAAGAAAATCCTATTTCCTGTGTCATTATTATGTTTTAAACATGTTGTAAATGTGTTTATCCCGACCCCCTGTCTCTTGTAACACATACAAATTAAACTGGTTGTAAATATGTGCATTCGTGCCGTTTACTACATTTCAAACATATCATAAATGTGTTGATTTACGGCAGGTAAGCCTCAGAGCGGAGGAGCTTCGCCTCCAGAACAACCCCTGGGATTAGGACAGACTGTAGTGGCAGGACTAGCAGAAGGCCTGTTGGACCTGGGAGTGGTGAAGGTTTGTTGAAGTGTTTTGGGATCTAAACTGCAAAAAAAAAAAAAGAAAAAGATAATTGAATTTGAATATTCGAGATTCACAAATGTGCATTGAAAGAATACTTGACAGTCACGGGTTGGATTGTAGTCTTACTGATATGTTTATTTGAATGTGCAGGCAGTGTTTCTGGGTCACCAGGGAGTGGACGTCCATGCTGTGTGTTTGCAGAACAAGCTGAGCCAGATGACGGTGGAGGAGAACGGTCTCAGCCTCCTCTACGGTCTCAGCACCACCGACAACAGGTGAGTACCTTGTTACATCTCACATCCTACTTTGAAATCCAGTTTTTGAACACTGGTGAATTGCCACAAAGGCAATTGGTAAGAAGATGAGGAGCTGCCTTCCTGTTCAATACATATGTTAACTGATCTCTCAACCGCTGGCAACAGGCTCCTGCACTTTGTGGCCCCTAATCACACGGCACGAATGCTTCACAAGGGCCTGTCAGAGTTGGTGAATGCAACCAGGAAATTGAAGAGGTTTCCCGACCAAAGGTTGCAGTGGCTGAGGAGGCAGTATGTCAGTCTCTATCAGGTAGATATACTCTGAACTGAATGGTGTTTCCTTCATAATACTTTGCTTACACACAATCAGTTCCATCAGTGTCTGACGTTTTTCAGTTTTATTACTTTTCCCTCTTTTAAGTAAATTGTGCCTTGGATTTTTGTCTCCATTGCTCTTTAAAGATGAAAAGTTCACACATGTCCCTAAAACATCTTGAAATCAAGGTAGTTTTCCTTCTCTTAGCCATTTTGTGCCTATTCATTTTCTTTAGGAATTGAATCCTAAATTCCCAAGGGCCTGAGGAAAACTGAGGATCGTGTGATTTGCAAATTTTCTAAATGGCCTTTAGCTAAACTTTGCCTGTGTTAACCTATGTGTTTGCTTCCTTTCCTCTGTGTCTGTGTTTGCTTCTTTTAGGAGGATGGCAGGTACGAAGGCCCAACACTGGCCCAGGCCATTGAGCTGTTTGGTGGGCGCAGGTGGAACATGAGCACAGGTGGGACGGAGAAAACTGGTGCCCAGAAAAACAGCCCTCTGAGCATCAACGATAAGGCCAAGAAGAAGAAGAAGGTCCTGGTCAGGGTCAGTACATAGAGTTGACATTATACGTTCTATTTAAAAGATTGAAGTTCATTTTTAAGCTTCGCCGTGGCTCTTATCTCTTAAGAGTTAAATGTGAGCAAGTAAGACATCATTTTAATGCTAAAGGAGACATACAGGTTGGCCTGTCTTATTTCCTATTAAACCTACCATCTCACACAGAGTCAGTTTTTTACTGCTGAGTACAGTTGTTGGTTTGTTTTTCACAAAGTCTTTTACCCCCCCAACACAGGGCGACAGCGGGGACGCCACAGATGACGAGATGGTTTCTAGGAAAACACGGAGCTGTAAGGAGGGGCTGTATCGGAACGGACCGGAGTCTGACAGCATCGACCAAGAAGATCCAGGTGACATTTTCAGAAGCCACTTAAATTCACAGAAAGAATCTAAACTCCACAGGTGTCTGCTAATTGAAGATGTAGCTAGATTAAAAGGTATAATTACTATTGCAGTTACTAAAGAGTAAAACATTCTTTACATGACATGATTTCCTATAGTACTGTATTATGTCCGCATGATCTTTATTTACACTTAGTCTTCTTTGCTTCCATAGAGGACAGCTTCCCTGGACCATTCTCCCTCTCATCCAATAAGAGCCCTGGATTGCTAGCCTCTTCTTCATCCTCCTCTTCTTCATCCAGCATGGCAGGGTCCAACCAGTGCCGCCCACAATCCTCTCCAATCCTTTCAGGAACTGCCAAGTCACAGCCAGGGTATGTACCATATATGAAGACTGGAGGTGTGAAACTTTGACCTTTTTCATGTCAGGTTAAGAAATGTTTCCCCTTGTCTGTGGGTTGCAGGGCCTGGAGCAGCAGGTCGTGGCACGGTCGAGGTAAAGGCTGTTTCAAAGGCTTCCAGAACCTCATGATTTCTGACAGCACGATGAGCTTCATTGAGTTTGTCGAGCTCTTCAAGTCATTCAGGTAAATAACAAAAAAAAAGACAAAAAAAGAGCCTGCAGAGTAAGATGCTGTGCATAAGGCACAGATTGGCAGGCTGAATTTAAAGTTTTGAACGTTTGATAAGTTCGTTTCATTTTATCGTTTTATCTAACACAAACTAAAACCTGGATAAAACACTTTTTTCTGGTTATATGTAACCATATTCAGTTATCGCCTGCAGAGGTGATATATGTTTATTGTCAATGTTCTGTTCATCATTTTTGCCATGTCACTCCCTCTTGTTATATAATTATTCTGTTTTTATCAATAGCAGCTAAAGACATGAGATCAAATAAATTCGGCAAATGCTTTTCACAGTAATAATGCCGAGGATATTTTCCTAAGATTCCTCTCTGTATAATATTTAGCTCCTATAATATTTTCCCCTGTCAAATCAAAGGAAACAATGTTTTTCCTTGATAAGAACTGGATCATTCTCATACCAGTCCTCCTACATTTCTTAGATTGTAGTGTATCCTCTCATCTGCTGCCCAGCAGTTTCCTTCAAAATTCCTCACTTGCTTAACTACAGCCTTGCCGAGAACATGGAACTACTTCAACCTTGATTTCCTAAAGATGGTAGCTGAAATCCATTAGAGTATAATTTAGATATCTAGCCGAGGTCTGTCCAATGACTACTTAAAGTGTTAATTATGAATCTAACCCATGAATCTCAAACTCTTTAAACTTTTGTGTCAGCTTGTTAACAAGAAAAATGTAAAAAATGTTAACAACTTTGTTGAATGCCAGTGTATAAATATAAATTTGACTGCAAAACTAAATAGACAGTAATAGACAATATCTGTATTGGTGGAGCTGAATTGAAACAAATTTTTAAAGACAGTTTTGCGATGAACAGCTTGTCAGTGTCAGGTGGTTGAAATGACTAAAAATTGGTGAATCATTTCCTCCACAGTATCCGAAGCAGGAAGGACCTGAAGGAGCTGTTTGACACCTTCGCTGTCCCCTGCAGCCGATCAAGTCCAGAGTCAGCTCCTCTCTACACCAACCTCAGAATAGATGACAAAGACACAGGGCAACAACCAGACCTTGGTACACTATACAATTATATTCATTTAAATATTGTTAGCAGACAAAAACATGTACAAAAGCATTAACATTACTCCTCTGTTCCTCTCCTCTCCAGACTTACTAACCCGCAATGGTTCTGATCTTGGCCTGTTCATCCGGACGAGGCAGCAGATGTCCGACAACCAGAAGCAGATCTCAGACGCCATTGCGGCAGCCAGTATCGTGACCAACGGGACAGGAGTGGAGAACGCGTCACTAGGTGTCTTAGGCTTGGCTATTCCCCAGCTCAATGACTTTTTAGTCAACTGTCAGAGGGAGCACCTGAGCTACGATGAGATCCTCAGCATTATACAGGTAGAGTCTGGAGCCTGGATAAATGACCGCAAGGATGACACTTACAACATTTTATTAATCTGAAAGGGATGGATTGATGGCTTGGAAATGTCTGATAGATTTGTGAATTGAGCAGATGAATGTGATGACACAAGGAAGTAAAAGGGACTGTTGATCAATAATAATGAATTGTTTTTCTCTTGCAGAAATTTGAGCCCTCATCAAGCATGAGACAGATGGGCTGGATGTCATTTGAAGGTTTTGCAAGGTATCATGAAAATTTACATATTTCAGAATGCATTGCATATTCATTTCAGAAACAAAATTAAAGTTTATATTGAATTCAAAACCCATGTGAAGAACTACATTACATACTGTATTCCAAATCTGTGGCAGTTAAAGACAACTTTGTTTTAAATGAGATAAAAAAAAAAGGTACTGAATTTTCAATTGTAACTATCCCTGCGAGGCATGTTTCTGTCCTATATTTTGATAAAAAAGTGATGGCTTGCTAATTGTAATCATTGCAATAGCATCATGTATTGTAATCTTAGCGTATTTCTCTGTCCATACCAGATACTTGATGGACAAGGAGAACTTTGCTTCTCGTAATGAGGAATCCCAAATGAACCCTGAGGAACTGCACTATCCTCTGTCCTACTACTACATTGAGTCTTCTCATAACACCTATCTGACTGGACACCAGCTCAAAGGAGAGTCCTCTGTTGAGCTTTACAGTCAGGTCAGTCAGACAATAACTTGCTATGTTTTTACCCAGGATTTTAACATTTTTTTATTTTTTTTTATCCACAACTCCTGTTTCTTTTTCTTTTTTTTAATATTGATACTAAATTGTGAATGTCTCGGTTACTCAGGTGCTACTACAAGGCTGTAGGAGTGTCGAGTTGGACTGTTGGGATGGGGATGATGGCATGCCAGTTATTTACCATGGACACACACTCACCACTAAGATACCCTTCAAGGTTAGGAATGCATATCGATAATTTGATTGAGAAAAGTCCATTGATTGGAAAAATAAAACAAAATGAAAACAATCCATCACTGGCTCTCCCTGCTTTTCCGCTCTCATGCCTCATTGGATTGACATGTCAAAAACAACCATACCTTCAAACACAATTGTACTGCTGTGCGATGTATTAATTTTGACATCAGTTCACCAGCCTGTTACCTTTCTATTATTTATTTCATGTAATCAGACTTGGACGTCTGTATTTATTTATAAGTTGTATCTAGTGGTAAACCTAATTTGTATTGGTTTCCACAGAGTTTTATTGTCACATATTTGACTCAGAGAGCTGTTCTGAGAATTCTGAGAATTAAATCTCTCCCATCATCCTCCAGGATGTGGTGGAAGCAATTAACCGGGCTGCGTTTGTCAATTCTGACATGCCCGTCATCCTGTCCATAGAGAACCACTGCTCCCTTCCACAGCAACGCAAGATGGCGGAGATCTTCAAGGTATGTTTTCCATGTGTGGTCAATTTGTTTCCGATGTCAGTATTTAACTTTTTGATTAGTGAGTGGTAACTGAGACACAGAGAGTCTTTGTCATTTGAGTGAATAATGAATTTCGAGTAGAGTGTTGTTTTTTTAAATCCTGGAGAAACGTTGATTAAAGATTAATTGATTTATTAACAAAAGAGTTTAGCCAAGCATCCTTGTTCCATTTTCAGCAATACCCTGCTTTATATTCAGGGAATTAGATACACCTACACCTTCAAACAGTGTAGTTTCTTGTCCAAACCCACTACTGCCCTAACCACCTAACAGGTGGGTTTTCCTCAATGGCACTTGTAACAGCGCTTTTGGAGCAAGAGTAGAACTACACTCATTTGTTTTCCTTGACCAGATTTTTCTCAGCTGCTCTGGGCTTTCAAACTGGCAGACTTCCAGACAGTCAGCTTGCTTTTTTAATGTCCAGGCTACAACTGTCCCTTTCCTCTTTTTTTTTTTCTTTTTTTTTAAGTTGTATACTCAAGGCCACACATATCTGGGCATGACAGATACATCACAGAATAACATCATGCTTTCATCTAAGAAACCTTCCCAGCATTTCATCCTCTCTGGAGACCGACTTCTGAGTGGCTTGATAAAGAGAAGTCTTTCATGTTCAGACAGCTCACCATGAGCTTGTTTATTTGTAATGTTGTTTTGTGTTGATAAAAGCACTTTCATTATTGAGTTGTTGAGGATTGCACTACAGCTTCTGAGTTCCCCTCTCCTCCTCTCACTTGACATTACAATCTGATCTGTACCTCAAATTATTTATTCATGTCTGTCTGTCATGTTTCAATTTTTATCCACTAGACGGTGTTTGGCGAGCGCCTTGTGACACGCTTCCTCTTTGAAAGTGACTTCAGTGATGACCCTCACTTGCCGTCGCCACTGCAGCTGCAGGGGAGGATCCTCCTCAAGAATAAGAAGCTGAAAGCCCACCAGGCACCGGTGGACATACTCAAACAGAAGGTTGAGTGGAGAGAAAGACATCCTGTCCGCACATACACACACATACTATATATATATATATATATATATATATATATATATATATATATATATATATATATATATATATATATATATATATATATATATATATATGACTGTGTGCATAATTTATATCTAATATAATTTATATCCTTTAATGGTGCTTTTAGGTAGCATGAGTGCATTGAATACTGTCACACATAAATAATAAATGCTAATGTGTTAAAATGTGCATCTCATCACACCATTTTCACTCAGTTTACCTTGCAAACATAGTGTGCTTCAGTATATATACACCATAGATGCAATATATATAATGTATATTTATAGGTGATGGTAGATATAGATCACACTTCAGGTACTGGTATATCTCTATAAATATTAGTTCTCCTCACACACAATTTTTACAATATTTTAACCTTTTCACAGGCTCACCAGCTGGCCCACATGCAGGCCCAGGCTAGCAACGGGTCACCGGGAGTTACTTCGCCTGGCAACCACACCAATGAGGAAGAGGAAGAGGAAGAAGACGAGTACGACTATGACTATGAGTCTCTATCAGATGGTAAGGATAATTGCAATAGGGTTTGTAATGCCTGTAAACGGCGGCAAATACTTTATTTCAGCACAAAATCAACACAGAAACTCAGCTGAACTTAGGGACCTACGATATTTCCATGGATTCTTTATATGTAGATTCTTATGTTGTAAACCTTGAATCAGGTTCTGTTCACCTTTATTCTGTCTCTCTTCTTTTCAACACTCAGGTCTCTCTTTATGTTGACACTCTGTTTTCACTCCCTTCCTTTCCTTTTTTTTTTATTTTTTTTTATTTTGCCTGCTTTCCACTTAGCTGATGTCCTCACAGCCTCTACTGCCTCGTATGGCCTTGAAGGTAAATGCACAGTTCTGACGCGTCTTTCCCAGTGTTTCCCTCTAATTTTGTTTTGCAGTGGTAGCTGTTGATCTCTCACTGATTCATCTTATTCTTGGCAAAGTTACAACATTTACAACATAATATTATCCTTCTTAGTATCCAGATGTGATTACTTAAAGGTGCTACTTGTAGACATTTACCTTGCAATTAATTTTTTCTGGGGAAATTGTGGTTCCTTGATGCAAATTTACTTGCTGTGGTTGTCTACCACTGCAGAATAACTACAGAGGAAACATGGATGTGTGATGGTGTGTGGATGTTCGTTAGTGATCTGCACCGCCGATTCCCGTCTGTGCGCACACACTGTATGAGCAGCTCGCAGCTAGTAGTGAGCTCTTTGAGTGGACAAAGTCAGGTGATCTAGTTCACTGTAGCGATCTTGCTTGGGAACCAGCAGTTCAAAATTTGAACCATTACATATTGTGTAATATCTGGAACCCTATTAAAAAAACTTTTTTATTCATTTCAATCTATTTGACAGTAAAATATTTGGAGGGTGTGTTCTTTGATGAGACTTATATGTGCTATCACTGACCGATTGAACTGATGACCAGTGCCACAAGACGTCCTCCCTCACCCTCCCTACTGTAGCTGGTAAAATAAAGACAACCGTGTGTGTTCTTCAGACATTTTGACAACAGCAGAGAGGTTCTTTGTAATAACTCTAACTCATAATGGTTTTAGAATATCATTAGGGTGTCATCTAAGCTTATTTATCACTAGTCAGAGACACCAAGAGTGTTTGTTATGATGTACACTTGTTTTATCACTATTATGAAACTGCAATAGTGCGACAAGCATTCCAACCTCCCGGTTTGCCACAGCCATTTTTCTTGAGTGACATTGTTAATACGCTGTCTGTGTATCCATCATCCAAAATTACTGCTACTTTACATTCAATTCCATCACTATGACCATTGTATTTAGAGTAACCAGGGTGTTGGTTTTTTATAGCAATTGTGATGTGAGCTTGTGTTGTACGTCTCTGTGTTTGGCCTGTTGTTTTGACACAGAATGTTGTAGACGTCATGCTTTTGGATCACTTCATTTCCCTCTATTTACATACAGTTTAGTCAGGGCAGGATGGGACCACTGTATCTACCTCTACACTATATTGATTGTCCTTAAATGGGAAATAGACTTCTATAGCACTTTTCTAGTCTTAACGGCCACTCAAAGTGCTTTACACTAGAAGCCACATTCATACATTTACACACATATTCATACATTTGCTCATATTCATACACTGTTACATCGGGGGGAATTTCAAGTTCAGTATCTTGCACACACTTAGATATGCAGACTGGAGGAGCTGGGAATTGAACCTCCGACATTCCGGTTAGTGGATGACCCGCTCCTCTGCCTGAGCCACACATACAGAGTTATGAATCACATAAACATTTGTGTATTAAGAAAAAAACCCAGACATTTCATTCAGGATTTTAACAATATGATGTCTGCATGCTTTCTCTTTCTCCCACAAACACATCACCTCCCTTCCTCCACCCCTCTGTACTGTATTTGTCTGTGACCTTGCTAGTGGCTGGGCAGACTCATCAGGGAAACAAAACAAAGCCATCTGGTTTCTCAGGCCCTCCGCTGCCCCCGCACTAAAAAACAGACTGGGGGAAACTACCCTGTCCCGGTCCCAGTCCCAGCTCTGCTCTCTCCTAATCCCTGCCCTCTGCTTGTCCCTGTCGGAAGAACTTACCGGTCATAGACCTTCCAAAAAAGGTTTCTCCAATCTAAACCTCATAGTGTGGTTCCATGTTGCTACACACACCTTCTTTTAGTCAAATATTAACCTACCAGTGAGCTATTGAGTCATCCTGACTAAATAAACCACCTTAAACTCTGACTGTCTCCATTTTACCATACATGCTTAGAGCTTAACATCAGCTGGCCCAGGAAATACAAACACTTGAGAACTAAGCTGCCAAGTTGCCACGATCCCTTGTTTAACAGTAGCTCCCTCCAGTTCCAGTCTGGTCCTACTCATCTCTCCTGCTGCTGTAGTATGACATTCAGGGTCATCTCTGTGGCTAAACCCTATTCTGAAGAAGAGATTTCAAATGCCAGGATTTAAACAAGTTCTCTGTGATAAAAAACATCTGCATTTTTACACTGATATGTTCCTTTTTGTGGTTTTGGCTGCGATGAACGTGTAGGCGGAGTGTGAGCAAAGGGAAGAACTCCCTACTGTTGCTCCTGTTTACAGTTGATAGACATTGCCTTGAATATCAGTAAGGGTGGGAGGGGGTGTTTTTGTGGGTGCTTGCTTGGAAACATGCTCATGAGCTCTGCAAGTAGTCAGGGATATACTAAATAACTGCTGATGCTTTTCCTGTCATAATTATTCTCTTATTGTTCCCACCTGCTCAAAGGTTTCCTCCCATTTGAGATGGAGGAGATTCAGACGAGCTGGAGTTACAAAATAAAAGTCCTCTAAAAGTAGTTAATCTCTGAATGAAATACAGAATCACTGTAGAGTTTGAGAATTATTCTTCTGTGGAAATTAGATCCCCATGAACACACTGAATATGCGTTCACCAGCCCATCAATGTAAGTTACCAGAGCAACCTTTTTTCATCGGAAAATAAAAAAGCAAAGAGAAAAGTGTAAACCATAGACTTGTAACTTCAAACCAAGCGATAACTAACATGGTTGAACACCATAGCTAATGCAGAAGTGCCTTTAAGCTGCAGTTAACTCTAGCGGCCGCTCAACACTCTGACTTTATTCAAGTAACAAGAAAACCCCATCTCCTCTCTTAAAATGAAGTCACTATTTGTTTTGAAGATGTGTTTTCCCAGATGCTAAATTTATGTATTTTGAAATATGTAATACTGGTGACTTAACACTATATCAAGAGTAACTGAGACACCAACGGAAAGTTTTTATTTATGGATTTTTGTCAGGTCAGTTTTTGCCTCAACTTCACTGGATCAGTGAAAACTAATGGGTTGAAGGGAGGTACAGTATATTTAGCTGTTTGCTTGCTTGATTAACAGGTGCATGATGGTTGCACACATCAACATTTTTCACCATCAGTATTTTTTGCAGAAAAATACTGCCTAGCCCTCTTTGTTTGGCAAATGAACAAGCTAACAAATGGTTTGGTTGGTGTAAATCCCAGGTATCATCTGTTTTTTTTTTGTTGTTTGAATGATTTGTTGTTTTGTCTGTATAGATAACATCCTGGATGACAAGCCAGAGGGGAAGAGCTCAGCAGACAAAGAAGAGCAACCTGTTGATGAAATACCAAAAAGGATGAAGAAGGCTGACAGCACCACGCAGAGCAAAGGAAAGGTCGGGAACTACAGTATTAAATTGACCTAATTGCTGCAGTTATGTTTACATTTAATGACTTTATTTGTTCATGTTATAGCTACAAGGTGCCAGTAGTTTTTTTTTGCCATTTGGATTCAATCCAGTGCTTATTAGTTATTTATTTTGGTTTTATCTACTTAACTATTTTGCTGGCAGATTACATCAAAGACTTACATATATGTTGAAGTCAATACAGATAGGTAAAAATAAGAAAAGAAATGTTAAGATTGAATTTGTTGATGATGTAAAAGTATGAAATTTGGATTGGAATCTGGCATTGAGGTTAAGTACATAGCCCTGCTGCTTTGTTCCCACTCACTTCTGCCTGTGCATCTACGAAGCTCCAGTGCTCCAGTAGGCACATCACTGTCTCTTCAAGTAAAATGTTAATGTGTTCTTCATGTCCTGTGTCTACCTGCACCTGTAGGTGTTTGACATGGAGCTGGGCGAGGAGTTTTACCTTCCTCAGAACAAGAAGGAGAGTCGACAGATTGCTCAGGAGTTGTCCGACCTCGTCATCTACTGCCAGGCTGTGAAATTCCCTGGTAGAGAATATTTTATCATCCTGTCTCTTTGTCAAACACGGTTCTCTCTCTTCTTTCACTTCTCATTTCAACAGGCATTTCAGATTTTTTTACTGTCTTCCCTGTTTTCCTACATGGATTCTTTTCCCAGTGCAAAGTGATTTATTCTCTGTCAAAATCTATCTTCCACCCTCTCCTCTTTTACTCTTGACATGCAATCATTTTCATTATCTCCTCTTTTCTGTCTCGCCCCACTCCCATGTTATATTTAAGAGGTCAAACCTTTCCCCATGTTTTCAAATTTTTTTTTTCATTGCATGACATTTAATATCCCTGTATTTTACTCCATTCCTCTCCCACACAGGACACCCACTAAGATGATGAATCCCTTTCTCCCCATGGGAAAGATACGGTTACCATTTTTTGTGTTGTCAGTCCCAGAACTGCACAACAGCACTACATCCCTGTTTCAAATTTGACTAAGGGCCTTTGTCACATGTGACCCTCTGCTGTCTCCCAGTTTTAACTGTCTTGCTTAAGGGGACATGTCAAAAATTAAAATGGTTTAAATTAGAGTATGGCTTTAATTCTAAATACAAAATGCTTTCTGTTCAGCAGTTCAGGATGTTTGACTTTGTTTTCTGTACCCACATAAAACTCCTCTTATTTCGTCTTTATTGGGATCTATCTTCATTCTTTGCTAGCATTTATCTCAAGTATTTCTTTTTGTCCGTTAAATATCCACCTCTTATCTCCTCTTTCCTCCCTCAAGTGTCCTCGTCTCTGCTTGTCTCTTCTTTTCTTTACGTGACATCTGCCCTTATAAACCCGCCTGTGTTTCCACTGGTATTTTATTTGTTTACTGTTTCCAGGGACCTGAGATCTGAGAAGGAGAAGGGAGGGCAACTGGCCCGATTCAGACAGACAGCAGACTGGTCGCTATGGTGTCAAACATACTAAAAGTGATGCCTGCAGGACAGAGCAGCAACATACTCATTATGATGCAGTGACAGCTTTTAGAGAAACAAATTGAGAATAAGAAGGGAAAGAGATACTGACTGTCATCATCATCATCATCATCATCATCATCGTTGTGGGGTCTCCAGGCTGTCTGCATTTCATTATTGACCACACTCTCTTTTGTTTGCTTGTTGTGTGTGGGAACCCAGGCCTGTCCACGCTGTCTCCGGCCGGCTCTGGCAGAGGGAAGGACCGGGGAAAGAGCAGGAAGTCCATATTTGGCACAGCTCCCGCTCGCTGCAGCACCACAGGGGAGGTCACGACCCAGAGCCGCACCCCTGGGAAAGGTACGCAGGGCCGAGGGGTGCTGATTCTTAGTATGAGTGTGTGTGTGTGTGTGTGTGTGTGTGTGTGTGTGTGTGTGTGTGTGTGTGTGTGTGTGTGTGTGCGCGTGTGCGAGTAAAATGCAGATTTAGTAGCTTTTGTATTTTTGTTCCATTTTTATTTGTGTTTTTTCAGAGATATTTTTGAAAAACATGAATGTTACTGAGGAAGTGTGGGTGGATGTGTATTGAAATTAACAGCAAAAGAATGCAGGACTCCCACTTAAACACTGACATCTATCCAAGTAGATTCAAAAGTGTAGATTAACCTGGGTGCAACTAAATGTGGAATAATTTGATTGGACAAGCAGCTAAAACACTGTTATGGCCATATGTGAACCGAAGAATACAAGCCTATTGATTATTTTAGATCGAGCTTGGTGTTGTGTGCAAAATTTCATGCTGTGATTAAATGAATATTGACTTACTACTTCCTCCTGTTGACAGGAAAATTGGCAATTTTTAAAATCCATGTTGATTTTTCTACTCAACGTGATTTCTTCTGCAGTTATCATAGAAATTAGAGCTGCAAAATAAAGAAAAAGCTCATTATTTAGTATGAAAACTTGCAAACAGCAACATTCAGGACTTAATAAGCCACAATAAAATTTTGTTTGTTTGGGGAAAAACATCCTTTGATATTTGTGAAGAGTTTAACTGCCATCAGATTTTACTTTGGCAGAAGATTTTTTTCTTATGTACTTCTGCTGACTGAGAAAATAGGTGTTGAGGTCCTCTCTCTGTCCCCGTGTCCAGGTGGCGCTGAGCGGCTGAGCTGGGAGGAGCAGCAGACATCTCCCATCCTCAACCACCCGACCTCTCTCAGCGCCATCATCCGCACGCCCAAGTGCTACCACATCTCCTCCGTCAACGAGAACGCTGCCAAGCGCCTGTGCCGGCGCTACTCTCAGAAGCTGATCCAGCACACTGTGTGCCAGCTGCTCAGGACGTACCCGGCAGCCACCAGGATCGACTCAACGAACCCCAACCCTCTGCTGTTCTGGCTGCACGGTATTCAGCTGGTGGCGCTCAACTATCAGACCGATGGTGAGGACAGAGTTGAGAGATGCTTTTCACTCTTTGTATGCGAATGAGCATCACTTCTAACTTCAATGGCACTTTTTGGAATTTGGCAGTTTGTGTCTGTCACAAGTAAACATCACTAATTATTTTTTTATTATTTTAGTAAAATATCTCATAGTCGCAAATAGTAACCAGTGGGAGATAAAGGAGAAATGACGAAGGTTGAATGTACTCTGGAAAGGCTGTAATTCTAATTGAGCCAATGCAGCCCATTTTCCACAAGAAAACCCCCCCAGGAAATTTAGATTAACTTTGGTGACATTATATGAGGAGTCTGTGTTATATCTTTGAAAAGTGACAGATACAATGTATTCTGATGTTCTTTTTAAAGAATTATTTATCCCAAAGTGCTCCTCTACTTTGTTTTTTCCTCTCCTTTTCACTTTTTTCTCGATTTCTTCTTAAATCTCTCTCTCTCTCTCCCTGCCTGCCTGTCTCTTTTCTTTTTCTCCGTCTTTCTGCCTTACTTCCCACTGGTTTTCTATTCTTCTGAACTCAGACGGATTAAGTTATTTCCTCTAAAAGTCTCTCCTCCTCTCACTCATTCTCTTTTGATCCTTGTCTCACTCCCCTCCTGTTTTCTCTTCTTAAGGTCACTCATCCCCTCGTGTTTTTCTTTGCTTCTCAAATTCTATCGTCAATTTATTCCAATTTGGATCAAAGTTTACAAAACATCATCACCCAGTTGTGTGCAAGAAGACGCTTACCTGCACACATGCAGGTTTTGTTTATAGGACATTGTTTCAGTCTGTTTGGGCTAAATTGGAGCGAACAACCAAAAACAAACAGGTCAAACAGGGAGAATCACTCCAGCCAACAATACTCCACCTCTTTAATTGCCTTCTTTGCCAATGCTGGTCAGGTGGAGTTGAGGTTTTTTGGTTTTACCTTTTTGCTTCAGTGCTAAAAAAATTGACTGCTCTTTCTCTTCTTCCCAGATCTGCCCATGCAGTTGAACACAGCGCTGTTTGAGGCCAACGGTGGCTGTGGCTACGTCCTGAAGCCAGCAGTGCTGTGGGACCGTAGCTGTTCACTTTATCAGCAGTTCTGTCCGATGGAGAGAGATGTGGAGAAAATGAGTCCTGCTGTGTATTCCCTCACTGTGAGTTAAAATGATAGATGGAGCAGAATGGAGGATCAGTCAGAATGACCACTTCATCCTCGAGAGTTTTCTCACTTTGCACTTTCATCCTCACTCCTTTTGATCCACACCTTGAGCTATTAGAATATTTTCCATAGTGTAATGTAACGTAATGTAGCTACTTGCATTAGCAAAATGTTGTATTTTCAAATAATTTCCGGGTAGGTGCTGCTTTTATAAAACATTTACTGTTTCAATTTCAGTAAAAGCTTTAAAGTCTTTCGCTGGCTTGTTTCCGTCTTTCACCTACATATACCTGCAACGACTGCACAGACGTTATGACTCGTATTAGGTCCATTAAGGTGTGTTTGGACAGTTTTATTATCATTATTTGACAGTCATGAAGGCCACCCAGTTAATTCCATACAAGTGAATGAGAACAAGACCTCATTAAGGCTCTACCCCCACCCCACTCCCCCTCTCTCAGTCTCCATTTATTTTTCAGTCTGTGCTTTTCATCACTTTGCGTCAGTCACTGTGGATTTTTTTGCAAAAATGAACAATGAAAGCCTGAACATAACTGCACTAAATCTGTAAGATGTATGTGTGAGAACTGTAGAGAGGAGGAATGTGTTTTAGGTGTGTCATGAAGCTCTGTAATAGTTTGAATTAATGTTAGGAAAGACACAACAACATTATGTTACATTTCCTCGTTCTGTTGCCTTTAATTGCTGTAAACATTCTTAGCAAGTTGTACTGTTTACTGACTGACATCCATCATCATCTGTCAGGTTCAGATTCAGTGTGTTCAGTGTGTTCAGTGTGTGTGTGCGTGTGTGTGTGTGTGGGGGGTGGGGTGGGGGGGGGCAGGGACAGGGAGAAGATGAAGTAGAGTCCTTGTTGGCAGGTCAGAGTGACTTCACTGACTGTTGTTTGGCTTCAAGCCTGCTTAGGTTTTCATCAAATGCACTGAAAACAAGCTTGATTTAAAAGCAGGGATAATGTAAAAAGAATCTTAACTGCTAGTGTTGTTGATACATGGCATTATTATGGGTGCTCATTCATCATGTGACGCCTCCTCTCCTCTGTTTTCTCTCAGATCGTCTCTGGTCAGAACGTTTGTCCCGGTAACAGCGCTGGCAGCCCCTGCATTGAGGTGGACGTTCTGGGCATGCCCATTGACAGTTGCCACTTCCGTACCAAACCCATCCACCGCAACACCCTCAACCCCATGTGGAATGAGCACTTTCAGTTCACCGTGCACTTTGAAGAGATGTGCTTCCTGCGCTTTGCCGTGGTGGAGAACAACAGTTCCCAGACTACTGCTCAGAGGACTCTGCCTCTGAAAGCCCTCAAATCAGGTAGGACTCTCAGATGCTTTATAAACCAGGATCTGCAGCAGCAGCTCTTTTGATTAAAAGACAGATATTAATCAGTTCCAGTGTGCAAATATACAGCTAAAAATGCACAAACAAAGACAACAAGAACAAAATCCTGTCAATTACTCAATTTCAGAACACTAAAAAGTTTTAATCCTCTCCATTTTCAGGATTGTAGTATTTGGTATTATTGGATTGCGTACTCAAAACAAGTTTGTTGTCATGTGTGTTTCAGGTTACAGACACGTCCAGTTGAGGACACAGCATAATGAGCCACTTGAAGTGTCCAGCTTATTTATCTACAGCCGCAGAACAGAGGAAGGTCCCACAGGGGGCGCTACTCCCTCATCCTTGGTAAGACTTATTCAGGTCAGGTCTTGAGATGTTAATGTTAAATGTTGTTAATATTTTAAATATTGTAGACTGTAATCCAAAATCTTCAAAGAAATCCTGCTGGCACTGTAAGCAATATCATCGTTGTGAATTACTTTGGTTTTTATGTAATCATACTCTCTGAGGAGAAAGCCAGAGAGGCTGTCTAATAAAGCAGAAACATCACGACAGTATGTTTCGTAGTAACCTGCTCCCTTGCTCCTCTCCTGCTCTCCACACAGCTGTTCAGTTCAGAGGAGAAACGTGCTTCCCAGCAGCACCAGGTGACGGTGCACGAAGCCCCTGGTCCTGAGCCCTTCACTGTGTTCGGTGTTACTGAGCAGACCACTGCCAAACAGCTACTGGACACAGTTAGTAACTCTAAAATTTATGATGCTTGAATTATGTAATTGCAGCCTGGGAACCCCCTGCCTCCCGGCACACCTTTATGTCATCTTATGTCTTGTTTCCTGCATACCTAAAGTTTTTCCTCTCACCAACAGGTAGTAGTGTCTGCAGGAAACCCGTCTGATTACTTCCTTTTTGAGGAGAGGGTTCCTCTGTTGAAGGAGCGCAGTGAGGTGAAGCGTTGTGCTCAATATCGACCGCTAGCACCTGAAGAGGAGGTGGTCAGGCTGGTCTACAGCTGGAATGCTGAAGAGGGATATGTGGGGAGGATTTGCCTCAAAACAAGAGAGGAGGTGTGCACAGAGTCTTTTTTGTTAAATTCATTGAAAGTATTAGAGCAACATAAGCTTGTGTCTTTGGAAAAGAGGAAAAATATTCATGGTTTTATTGTTTTTTTTAATTGAATTTAATGTCTCAGCTTATCTGTTGAATGACTCAGAACTGTTTAATCTAAATGTATATATTTTAATATAAGCTGTTATCCCAGTTAATGTAATTGAATTTAACTTAAAATTCAATAAATACCATAGACTGTATTTATGTATATTTTATGTAGAGTATGTCTCCCCCTTGTGGTCATCCTATACAATTGATGATACATTGGCGCTGATTTACATCTGTTATTCTGCTGATTTATTGTTGCAGAACTTAAATGAGAAGAACACGGTGCCAGATGGAGAGGAGGAGGTGACTGTGGGAAGTAGAGAAGGTGCAGGAGGAGGAGGAGGAGGGGGAGCAGGGGGACCAGGAGGAGGTGGAGGAGGGGAGGATGAAATGTTCTTTGTCCAGGTCCATGAAGTTTCACCAGAACAGCCTCACACTGTGATCAAGGCCCCGCGCTACAGCACGGCTCAGGACATCATACAGCAGGTGAGGACATTCAAGGAAGCATTTACCTGATTAAAGTTTTGGTGAATTTTCTGAATGCAGAACAAACATCGAACATTATAAAAGCATATAAAATAGGGCTGTGTCTGTCAGAAGCACTACCCTTTAGTTCAATTTTATTTTAGAGTAATGTTCTCTGTGTTTCCCTCTCTCGGTCAGACTCTGTCAAAGGCCAAGTATTCCTACAGTATCCTTTCAAACCCCAATCCATGCGACTATGTCTTGATGGAGGAAGTGACCAAGGACGTGGGCTCGAAGAAGTCCTCCGCCGCCAAACCTTTGCAGCGGGTGCTGCTGGATCACGAGTGTGTCTATCAAGCACAGAATCGCTGGCGGGGCGCGGGAAAGTTCATTCTTAAGCTGAAAGAGCAGGTAGCTCTAAGCATGGTCAACACTTTTCAGTGCTAGAGACGTTTTAGTTTTTGTTTTCCATGCTTTTACTTTACAATTATGTGCATTACCTGCTTCCTCCTTCCTGAAAACTGCACTACTAACACCTTGACTGCTTCATATGTGAACTGAATCCTTGCAGCTTTGTGTGTGCTTGCAAAAACTGATTGACTGTTTCTCTAACTTCCTGTTTTTCAGGAAGATTCTGTTATTCACATCTCAATTAATCCATGTGGTTGTGTCATATTCATAGTGTCATAACACCTGCATGATGGATTGTATGGGCTTTTAACCTGTCGCTGCTTCCCTTGTTGTTGTGTGCACTTCTGTTTGTGCTTGTGATTTACATTGCCATGTTAAGCTTTGTCTGCTTATCTTGATCTAGTGTTTTTATGTTTTATGTCTGTCAGTATTTATTTTATTTTTTTCATCATTCATTTACACCTGTGAACTTCTTCCCTGATGTATTTGTAAATATGAACATGTTGTTCAATGACCTGCCTTGTTGAATAAAGGTGAAGCATTTTTTAGATTTCTGTTTTTTTTTCTTTTTTTTTCCACAAAAAATACAGCATTGAAGCTAATGAATTGTTACCAAAATAGAGAGCAAGACCTGTGTCTTTTTAAATTTTAAAGAAGAAAACCACTCAAAACCTCCTTGCACATTTCTCTTTGCTCTTTATGCATTCTATTTGTGCTTCCAGGTGGTGCGGGAGGACAAAAAGAAAGTCATTTCCTTCGCCAGCGAGCTCAAGAAGCTGACTAGTCGCAGTCGCAGCATGACGACTGGCAGTGGAGTGGACGGTCCTGCCCAGAGTAAGGATGATAGAGCTGCATGCTGTGTGGCTCTGACAGAGCTCCAGGAGTGAGGCTCACACTCTGCCTGCTGTCTGTGCATGGAAAGGCAACAGAGGTACCGTATGTTGTCTCTAACCTCTAACACTGCAACAGGAAAAACTTAATATGAATGAAAAACTTTAAGGTGCCAGTCTGAATTTCTAAAACTTAAAAAAAAAAAAGGTTTACTCAATGATTTAAACACATGAACCTTAAATAGCTAAATAAAGACATAAAGACATTTCTCAGTAATAGTACTAATTTTACAAGCAGTATAAGTGTGGAATTCAATTGGATTTTGGTGCTTTTGAGATGCAAGTACAATGGAGAGAAGCTAAAATTGAAGTGACACAACAGTCACATCACAAGGTCGATTTGGAGGTGATCATTATCTCCCACTTATCATAGATGTTTAAATTTCCATTTTTCTGAGCACTTTGACAAAATAACCTCAGCACTTAAGTGTGATGTAATCGAAAGCTCCAGAACAGTCACTAAATGAACCCTTCATGATGAGATTGTTTTGCTAACTGTGTTTTCTAAGGTCAAAAATGAACCTTTGATCTCATCCAGGTTTGAGTAGGTTTGAGGTGTAGTTGCTGTATTTGGATTACTGGTAAAGCATGAAACTCTCACATTTTTCTCACACTAAAAAAAATGAATCAGGTTCATGTACTCTAAGACTTTGTCTTAATGTATTAAATTCAGAATAAGACCTTGAATATATTTTTCCTAAGGAAGGACAAGGACTGAAATAGAGCCAACTCATAATTGTACCCAAAGAGAATGCTTCAATAGAGGTGGGTGGGAAGCAGTGAAATCCCACAAAGGTTGTTTAGTGTCATAGATTACAAATACATACAAAATAGTAAGAGAACATCCCCTTTTAACACACCATGCAAAAGGACTTTGAAGTAAATTAATCCTAAATATACTGGACTACACTAAAAAAGAGGGTCATATTAGGCTAAATGGCTTTTAGCACCATTTGTCGGCTATAAAAGAGGTCTGCAATTAGCATCTTCATATGCACATTTCTTTATTCAATAATTTATGTGTCGAGGGGATATGAAAGTAGATTTGTATTAATATTATTTGTGTGAACAGATTGACAATCCGTGTGTAAATGTGTAATCTGTAAATATAAAACACCTTCCACAAATACAAAAAATAAATTTGCAAATTCAGGTTTTCAAATACACAAAGAAATTTGACAAGTAAAAACAAAATATCTTTGAATACAAACAATTAATAGAAAAAAAAACAAAAGGACAGCATTTGTGAATATCTTCCTAGCATTTACAACTTTCATAAAGACATTTGTGAATCAATTTTCTATTTTTTAAGCAAAAAGAATTTCTGGATCTCACTTCTAGATATCCACAATTCTAGATATAGCAGGTGTCATTTCTTTANCCTTTTTAAGACTTTTTATGCCTTACTATACTATGACATTCTTATGACCTTTTATGCCTTTCTATACTATGTTNAAAAAAAAACAAAAGGACAGCATTTGTGAATATCTTCCTAGCATTTACAACTTTCATAAAGACTGAATCAATTTTCTATTTTTTAAGCAAAAAGAATTTCTGGATCTCACTTCTAGATATCCACAATTCTAGATATAGCAGGTGTCATTTCTTTACCATTGAGTTTATTGTAATCATTCAGTCCATTTGCTGTTTACAGCATAATTGGTTTTCTACATGTAGACGAGAATCAGTTGGCAGTTATCTTCATTAATCCTGTGCTGTCAGTAAACTAACCGACTCATCTCTTACAGGTGGTAATAGCAAGGCCGGCCCAAGGACATTTTTTGTGACTTTTTTTGCGTTAATATACTATGTCGTTTTTATGTTTTTTAATGCTTTGCTATACTATTACCTATTTATAATTTTTTGTGCCTCACTGTACGATGACGTTTTTATGCCTTACTATACTACCTGGTTTTTATGACTTTTTAGGCCTTACTATACTGAGATGTTTCTATGACCTTTTATGCCTTTCTATAGTCTGTTGTATCTATGACTTTTTATGCCTTACTATAGCATGTCGTTTTTATGACTAACTATACTATGACATTTTTATGAAATTTTATACCTTACTATATACTATGACGTTTTTATGACTTTTTATGCCTGACTATACTATGACCTTTATGCCTCACTATATTATGTCGTTTTTATGACTTTTTATGCCTAACTATACTGTGACATTTGTATGCCGTATTATATTATGCAGTTTTTATGAGTTTTTCTACCTTACAATATTATGCTATTTTTATGACTTTTTATGCGTTTTTATGCCTCGACACCTTTAAGACTTTTTATGTCTTAATATACTATGACATTTTTTATGCCGTATTATACTATGCCGTTTTTATGACTTTTTATGCCTTACTATACTATGATGTTTTTATACCCTTTTATGCTGTACTAAAGAATGTCCTATTTATGACTTTTTATGCCTTACTATACTATGACTTTTTATGACTTTTTATGCCTTACCATACTATGACGTTTTTATGCCTTACTATACTATGACGTTATGACTTTTATGCCTTACTGTACTATGACGTTTATATGACTTTTTATGCCTTACTATACTATGACTTTTCAATGACATTTTATCCCTTACTATACCATGACTTTTTTTTTAACCTTTTATGCCTTTCTATACTATGTCGTATATATGACTTTTTTTGCCTTACTATACTATGTCATTTTCTTGACTTTTTGTGCTTTACTATAATATGACTTTTTTGTGACCTTTTATGCCTTACTATACTATGACATTTTTATTACTTTTTTATGCTTTGCTATACTATAACTTATTATGCCTTTTTATGCTTTGCTATACTATGATGTTTTTATGACTTTTTATGCCTTACTATACTATGACTTTTTTGTGACCTTTTATGCCTTACTATACTATGACTTTTTTGTGACCTTTTATGCCTTACTATACTATGACTTTTTATGACTTTTTATGCCTTACCATACTATGACGTTTTTTTGACTTTTTATGTCTGACTATACTATGACATTTTTATGACTTTTTTTGCCTTACTATACTATGTCATTTTCTTGACTTTTTGTGCTTTACTATAATATGACTTTTTTGTGCCCTTTTATGCCTTACTATACTATGACTTTTTTGTGACCTTTTATGCCTTACTATACTATGATNATTTTTATCACTTTTTTATGCTTTGCTATACTATGACTTTATGCCTTTTAATGTCTAACTAAACTATGATGTTTTTATGACGTTTTATGCCTTAATACACAATGACATATTTATGGCCTTTTATGACTTTTTATGCCTTACTATACTATGACGTTATGACTTTTTATGCCTTACTCTATGACTTTTTAATGACCTTTTAATCTTTACTGTAATATGACTTTTTTATGACCTTTTAATCTTTACTATAGTATGACATTTTTATGACTTTTTATGCCTTACTATACTATGACGTTATGACTTTTTATGCCTTACTCTATGACTTTTTAATGACCTTTTAATCTTTACTGTAATATGACTTTTTTATGACCTTTTAATCTTTACTATAGTATGACATTTTTATGACTTTTTATGCCTTACTATACTATGACATTTTCATGCTTTACTATAGTATGACTTTTTTACCACTTTTTATGCTTTTTTATACTATGACTTTTTTATGACCTTTTATGCTTCACTTTACTATGACGTTTTCTGCCTTACTATAGTATGTTTCACAGCCTTACTTAATGGCTGGACAACAAGTAATTGGAGACGACACAAATTGGCAGGTAAATAATTTATTTACAACAAGGAAAATGATACGTAGGTCAACAAACAACTGAAATATAATGTACAAAAGAATGTCCACAGATGCCATCAGGTTTGCCAGGAGTGTGGGAGCGACGACAGAGACAGCTAGAGAGGTCAGATAGCCAGGACTGAAATGGGGAAGACTTTATGCAGCACACCAGGCTCAGGTCCATCCAGCACCTGAAAGGAAATCAGCAAAAACAAATAGGGACACAGAGTGCCCTGGCGGAGGGGTCATCACATGTCATTTTTACTCCTTAGCATAGTATGTCGCTTTTTGACATTTTATGCCTAACTATACTATGACTTTTTTATGACGTTTTATGCCTTACCGTACCATGTCATTTTTTGACATTTATATACATTACTATACTGTCATTTTTTTACATTTTTATGCCTTTGTATACTATGTCATTTTCACAACTTTTTGTGCCTTGCTATACTATGAAATTTTTATGACTTTTTATGCCTTAGTATACTATGACATTTTTAGGACTTTTCATGCTTTCATACACAGTGACGTTTGTATGACTTATTATGCCTTGCTTTCCTATGACGTTTTTATGACTTTTTATGCCTTGCTATAGTACGTTTTTCTGCTTTACTATACTATGTTGTTTTTATGACTTTTTGTGTCTTACTATACTTTGACGTTTTTATGACTTTTTATTCCTTGCTATACTATGTTTTTATGACATTTTATGCCTTACTATATCGTTTTTGTGCCTTACTATAATGATGTTTTTACGACTTTTTTTGCCTTGCTATACTATAAAATTTTTATGACTTTTCATGCTTTCATACACAATGACGTTTTTATGCCTTACTATATCATGTTGTTTTTATGACTTTTTATGCCTTGCTTTCCTATGACGTTTTTATGAATTTTTATGTCTTGCTATACTATGACTTTTTTATGCCTTGCTATACTATGTCGTTTTTCTGCTTTACTATACTATGACTTTTTTATGACTTTTTGTGCCTAACTATAAACCCTATCAAAGAAGACAGTTTTAAGCCTGATCTTAAATTTAGAGAAGGTGTCTGCCTCCCAAACCCAGACTGGGAGCTGGTTCCAACATAGAGGAGCATGATAGCTGAAGGCTCTACCTCCCATTCTAGTCTTAGAAACTCTAGGAACCACAAGTAGACCTGCATTTTGAGAGTTGAGTGTTCTGTTAGGATAATAGGGAACTGTGAGCTCTTTGAGATATGA